TTTGAAGGTAAGTAGAAGAATCTTGTAATTAATACGTTGACGAACAGGGAGCCAGTGTAGATCTTTTAGTAAAGGAGTAATGTGATCACGACGTTTAGAGAGAGTAACAATTCGGGCAGCAGAATTAAGAACACGTTGTAGCTTATCCAGGTGAACACCAGATATACCATATAGAAGAGAGTTACAATTATCAAGTCTTGAAGTTACAAAGGCATGGACAAGTTTTTCAGCAGTACTCACAGATATAAATTTACGGATACGAGAAATGTTACGTAGATGATAAAATGACGTTTTACAGATATTATTGACATGTGGAACCAAAGACATTTCAGAATCAAAAATCACACCAATGTTTCTTTCGCTAGTAGAAGACTTGATAATTTCATCACCAAAGTGCAGAAGAGGAGCAGACAATTTTGGACCAAATTTTGAGGATAAAGATAATAACTTAGTTTTGTCCCTGTTAAGTTTCAGTTTGTTTTCAGTCATCCAAGTATTTACATCACATAGACAGGCTTCTATTCTTTTCATCGCATTATTCATATCAAGATTATCATAACAGGAGAAGGGCATGAAGAGCTGGGTATCATCGGCGTAGAAATGAAAGGACATACCATGGCGGCGAAGGATTTCAGCAAGTGGAGACGTATACAGGAGATAGAGTAGCGGACCAAGAACGGATCCTTGAGGAACACCACAATCAACACCAAGAACTTTAGAAGAACATCCATTAACAGATACAAATTGAGTACGACCACAGAGATAAGACTTAAACCATTGCAAGGCTTTTCCACAGACCCCAAAGTTTGAAAATAGACGATTAAGTAGAATAGAGTGATCAACAGTGTCAAACGCAGCAGACAGATCAAGTAGAACCAATGCAACACCAGAACGATTATCAATTTGTTGAAGAATGTCATTTTGAACACGTGTAAGGGCAGTTTCGCAGCTATGAAGTTTTTTATACGCAGACTGAAGAGGTTCATGAAGATCATTCGCAGACAGATAAGTAGACAATTGATTAGCAACAACTTTACCAATAATTTTTGAGATTATAAGTTTTAAGATTTGAGACAGGGCGATAATTTCCAAGAATTTCATGATCAAGTGAAGGYTTCTTTAGTAAAGGTTTTATTACGCCAGTTTTTAAACAGGAGGGGATAGATGCACTTTTGAGTGAAGCGTTAACAATCTTGCAGATAACAGGCAGAAGAGTTACCGAGGTATCTTGAAGAAGACCAGCAGGAAGAGGATCAAGCTCACAGGACTTAGATATCAGCTTTCGAGATATGAGTGATAGCTCATCAAGTGACACAGGAAAAAAGGAGTCTAATCGACAGTCACATTCACAGAGGACCAGATCAGGGACAGTATAAATTGGCACAGAGTTCAGAGACATAGGGAAACCATTTCTTATATTTACAATTTTATCCTTAAAGAAATCCACAAAAGTATTAGCAAGATCTTGCGACGAAGGAGCAGATGGAAGTTTCTTTTCAGGAGTTAAATGTAGAAGGCGATCAATAGATTTGAACATTGCGTGACAATCAGAACCAGCATCAGAGATTAAATCAGAGTAGTAGTTCATTTTAGCTTCAAAGATCAGTTTTTTTACAAGATTACTTTGTTCAACAAACAAATCACGATCAATAAAATGACCAACTTTAACTGCTGCTTCGAATATCGAAGAAGCCAGAACTTGCGATTGTATCCCACATCCATCAAAAGCAAAAGTAGTTTCAGTCTCAGGATCAAAAGAGGGAATTTGCACGAGTTTCTCAAGTTYTGTTACAACATCCGCCATTTTGCCATACATAGTATTCTGCCTAACCCTAGTCCTCCTWAAAACTTTTTGTCACCTGAAGTCCCCCACTATCCCCCACACGTAATAGATTTGTATGCGCGAAGCTACCTGCGCAGAAGGCCATTAGCATGTCGAAATTTGGCAGGCATCACACGCTTCCCTTTTCTCGCCCACATTCTCCCTCTTTTGACTCCCAAAAAAGACAGGAATCCCGTGAGTCTTTGCGATTCTTTGTGATGCCTACGGAGGAGGCTAGGGCCTACTGACCAACAAGAGGACGAGTTCCTCAAAAGCCTCGAGGCGGAGATGAGCGAAGCCGATCCAATCGGTCCCAAAATAAATCAGAGCCTGGCCAACATAGCCAAGAAAAGGTGGGGAGTACCTCTTCCCGCAGAAAAGCTGAAGCCCTTTCTAGCTAAACACGAACAACCCAAAAATTGCTCTGACCTCAGTGTGGCGAAAGTCAACCCTGAAATATGGGGGCAATTAGCGAATTCCAAACGGAAAACAGACCTCCGGTTAAGGAATATCCAGCAGACCCTGCAAAAGGCAACTTTCGCGTTGCTCAAATCCTCCGATAAATTAGTAGGTAAACCCGCCGAGGAAAGCAAAGCCATGCTTGCGCAAAATATCAATGCAATTGCACTGCTCGGTCACGCAGTGGGTGACATTTCGGCTCTACGCCGCGAAGGCATTAAACCTGCCTTAAAATCTGAGTACGCCACACTCTGTACTCAAGACACGGCTACATCGCCATCGCCGCGACGCGAAAGAAACGCACGCCATTAGCAAGAAAATCGGCGCGAGCTATGTCAAACATGGCGCGTCGTTTGATGGACCTTCCACGTCCAGAGGCGGAGACTACCGCCGCGACAAGGGAAGGCGCAATACTTTTAATAAGAGCTACAACGGCAATGCAAACAAGGACCGTTTTTTGTCCAAGGGCCAGAAAAAGCCATACTYYCAACAAAAAACAGCAGGGAAGAAATAATAGAGACCCTCCAGAACATCAAAAACTCGGTAAGTCAATTTGCTCCCTTTATACTCAGTATAGTGAATTATCTTACTGACAGATGCAGTCAGTTTAGAGCGGGCTGCATAAAAATGGCCATCAGTGAATGGTGCAATATCACATCTGATACTGAGATATTATCTACTGTGAGGGGAGCGTCTATTGAGTTTGATTCCCCACCACGTGTTGTTTATAAAACACACATGTCTTTCTCCCCAAACGAAACGGATATTATCGACGGGGAAATATTAAAGCTGTTAGGGAAAGGGATAATTGAATTGACTACACCTGGTAAGGACATTATCCTATCCAATATTTTTACACGCCCGAAAAAAGATGGTAATCACCGACTTATCCTCAACCTTCGGGACGTGAATCAATTTGTCACATATCGACATTTTAAGATGGATTCCTTACAATCCATCCTAAAACTTGTCCAAAAGAATTGCTTTATGGCTTCTATCGATCTGAAAGACGCTTATTACTCTGTTTCTATCAGCCCTTCTTATCGCAAATACCTATGTTTCCGCTGGCGAGATAATCTTTATAGATTCACATGTTTGCCTAATGGCCTATCTTCGTGTCCGAGGGTTTTTACAAAACTTTTGAAACCAGCCCTTGCTACTTTACACAAAGCAGGCCATATAGTAGCTAGCTATATAGACGACTTATTTATCCAGGGACAGACTTACGAACAGTGTGTTTACAATGTCATTGGAACGTTCATACTGTTCGACAAGCTAGGTTTCATAATACATCCCACAAAGTCAGTGCTTAACCCATCACAGCAGCTAGTCCTGCTTGGGTTTGTTATAAACTCAACAGATATGACTATCCGACTTACAGGCGAAAAAGTGTCCGCGCTCAAAGCAGGATGCGACAATTTGCTTAAATCTGCAAACCCCTCGATCAGAGAACTCGCACGGGTTATAGGCAAGATCATATCGTCCCTCCCTGGGGTGATGTATGGACCGCTTTATTTCCGGTCACTGGAACACGACAAAACTATTGCACTTAAAAACAACTACGGGAATTTTGATAAACACTTATCATTGTCAACAAACGCCAAAAACGAGTTATTATGGTGGACGGAGAACGTTACCGATGCATTTAACGTTATATCCCATGACTTACCATCCTCAACACTAACAACCGACGCCTCATGCACAGGCTGGGGCGCCGTCTATGAAGGGGATAGTACGGGTGGTATTTGGTCTATCGCAGAACAAACCTATCATATCAACTATCTCAAACTTTTTGCTGTATTCTTGGGCTTACAATGCTATTGCAAAGCCTTACGCAATACACACATCAGACTACGTATAGATAATACCACAGCAATAGCGGTTATTAACCACATGGGAACAAGCCATTCTCAGGATTGTAACAAATTAGCAAAAACTATTTGGGAATGGTGCATAATGCGTAACATTTGGATTAGTGCGGTTCACATCCCGRGTGTAGAGAATATCACGGCTGATGCAGAATCTCGGAATAAGAACATCCATATGGAATGGATGCTCAACCGGGACATCCTATCAGGGGCACTTAATAAAATAGAATTTTGCCCGGATGTCGACTTATTCGCATCTCGCGTCAACGCGGAATTTCCAAAATATGTATCTTATCGACCTGACCCGGGGGCCATAGCAATTGATGCCTTATCACTGAATATTGCTTAACTAAACTTTAATGCCTTCCCTCCGTTTAGTGTGATAGGTATACTTTTACAACAAATAGAGGAACAAAACGCAACGGGAATTGTTGTCCTGCCCGATTGGCCGACCCAAGCATGGTATCCCAAAGCAATGCAAATGTGCTTGAGCCCGCCAATACGYTTATCACCGAGAAAACGGTTATTGTCTCTACCGGGACGACCCCAAGAAATACACCCCTTGCAGAAATCTCTGGCACTACTRGTATGCCTATTATCAAGCAGCAGCTAAGCCTTACTGGTTTATCTAATGACAC